GATGAACAGCCACTATTTTCATATGATCACTGGTGACTTGCAAATGTTATGTTTGGACAGATCACATGAAAACTGAGCCCAACTGAAACTTATCACAGATAGATGGATAATAGATAAGAGGGGCTGAAAAAAATATCTACTATTGAATACTATGAGAAACCAGAGCCAGATAATTCACATGGTCAGGCAAACGGCTTTTCTTTCAGACCGGAATGATGGCTGTCCTCACCGAGGAAAGCGTGAAGACAGCGGACATATACCATAGAGTCACGTAACCAAGCTGCTAAAATGATTAACGTTATGAAGATCGAGGCAGGAGGAAAGACTCCATTCTTTTATTTAATAATAAAATTTTTTTATTGATTTCAGAGAGGAAGGGAGAGGGAGAGAGAGATAGAAACATCAATGATGAGGGAGAATCATTGATTGGCTGCCTCCTTCACGCCCCACACTGGGGACCGAGCCTGCAACCCTGGCATGTGCCCTGACTGAGAATCGAACCGTGACCTCCTGGTTCACAGCTCCATGCTCAACCCCTGAGCCATGCCATTCTTATTCTAACCAGCCTGGGAATTGAAAAAAAAATTTTTTTAACTTTCCAGTCCTGCATCCATGCCTGGATAGACAGCCCCCTGCAGGATTCAACTACCCTGGCCACCTGTTACCTCCCATCCATTAACCAAACTACCAGATGTGACCAGACCTCCGGGAACCACCTTCCAGACCAGCTGGCATTGATGATACTGACGGCCTGTCATCTGCCTGACGACTGTCCTGCACCAATCGCAGGGCTAAGAATGCAGAACCGCTTACTCAAACATGTACTCTTTGCTCTTCGTGTTACCAGACCGGGGCGGGCGGGCCTGGAGCAGGTCTGACTCAGACCGGCCTGTGGTATGTGGGTCCTTGACTTCCTGTAGGAAAGATTTCGCAACACGAGGTCCAGATGCGTTTGAGAGGACGTCTATGAAAGCCGAGGACAGGGAAACAAAGGAAGAAAGTGGGGTGAAAGCAACAACAGGGGAGAGCCCAGGCCATGCCCTGCTTTGGCTCCTAGAAACATTCTAGGAAAGAAGTGAGCCTGGGCGGGGCTGTGTTAGCTCCCTGGGAAGTGAGCGAAGGATCAGGGGGTGAGCCCTGGTCAAGCTGCGGCTGCCCGCTGCTCCCTGGCTGCAAGTCTCATGGGGAGCCTTAGACTTTAGGAAGAATTAAAAAGTTCATGCCCAGAAAGGGGCCTGGCTGTGCTCTAGAGCAGCGGTTCTCAACCTGTGGGTCGAGACCCCTTTGGCGGTCGATCGACCCTTTCACAGGGGTCGCCTAAGACCATCCTGCATATCAGATATTTACATGACGATTCATCACAGTAGCAACATTGCAGTTATGCAGTAGCAACGAAAATAATTTCATGGTTGGGTCACAACATGAGGAACTGTATTTAAAGGGCCAGAAGGTTGAGAACCACTGCTCTAGAGTGAGCCCACATTGAGTCATCGTTCTGAGGGCTTTTTATCCTTTCTTATTTTTCCTCCTTTTTTTTTTTACCCCTGCAGGCAAGAATCTTAGGGGAAGGGTTTCAGTAGAATATTCATCAGCTTTCCAGGTGCATTTCACGTATGCTGATGCATCAAAATGAGTGTATAGCCCTAATCGGTTTGGCTCCGTGGATAGAGCGTCGGCCTTCGGACTGTTATTCTTTGGCCTGTTTTACATTTATCTTAGGTCTACCTGGCTTTCATGGGGTTTTTGTTACGTGTCCCCCAACTTCATCTCCCCTTGGGTTTAGCTGGAGTGAATGACATGAACTGGGTCTTTGTTCTCTATTTTCCCAGGCTACAGTGACTTAAGCTATGTATTCTCTGGTGAGGGTGGGGAGCTATACACCATTCGCTCTCGAGTGTCCTTGGTTAGGGAAGATGAGGAGTTCATAACAGTGGCTGGGTACCCGAACCTGATAGACACCACATTAGATGCTTCACACTGCATGATCCCATTGAACCCAGGCCTATTTTAGAGATAAACGAACCGACACAGTCACTGAATTAGCAAGCAAGAGACTAGATTTAAAACTAAATCTGCCTGGCACAACAATCCCGTTTTTCCTTATCAGAATCCCCCCACAGACGTTATCCTATCAGCCCTGTCTGTTGACTGAGCCTAAATGGTCGGAAGCCTACGAAGATGCCTTTGTAAACAACTGGGCGGCTCCAGAGTCGGGCGCCACCCAGTGGCCATGCACTTTTTCTTCAACAACATCCGCATCAAAACAAACGGACTTTGGGTCCCCACGCTCTCTCTCTCAGAAG